TTACTTGCTAGACATTTATTTAACATAGCAACCAATAACAAAGACATTTTGCCTGTTTCATTATGATGCAACTTTCAATCCAGTGTACATTATGATACTTGATTATATAAAATATTTTCTATATCTTTGTTCTTTTTCTTCATCACACTCATTTACATTTATACATACATTTATTCTCAACATACGTAATTCGAACGTTCTCTATTTCCGAAAATACGAAATATTTTCGTTATCAAAATAAAATATAAATTGGCAATAACGTTGTGTAGCTAGACGGATGTTCGCGGTGATAAATTACATAGGAAACATTGATCGCTTCTCTCCTTCCTCCTCCTTTCTCTCATTCTTTCTCACTCTTTTTTGTGTATTTTATGTGCACCAGATAATCAATATTATCGTTTCTCTCGACTCCACGCCACCACTTTTATCACAACTGTGCACAAGAAAGCTTTCTTCCAATATAGAAGAAAGAATACTCTGTTGATTAAGGATAGTAAAAACCAACACGATCCGTATCTATGTTATCCATATATCTATATTAAATATTGAATTATTAAAACATACAAGGCAAATCTGTACCAAAATTGGAAATTATTTGGATTACTATCCCCAATCAATTAATAAGTTATTGCACAATTCTCTTTTACACAGAGTATTCAACTTTCTTCTTGTTACTATATTTAATTTTTATAAAATATTAATGTCAAATTTTTTTTTTACTATGCAAAAATTTAAACAAAAATTTATAGAATGATTATTATATACTTTTTATGTTCCAGAGTTAATCGCAAAGACTCTAGATGGAGATTTTGAAGATCTTTCAAAAGAAGGCTTTTAAGATGGTCTTCTAAGGGATGTTCATCTTTGACAAGATTCACATTGTACATTAGGTGATTGCATGGTTAGATAATAGGACTGAGTATCCCGGAAGTGTGACCTAACAAGGAGACCCAAGCCTAGAAGTACTACAGGAAGACCTAGCAGTGCACAGATCAATTCTCCCGTCACTCCAGGAGACCATGTGATGAAACCTGTTGAAATTTTTCATTTGAGAATTCTAATCGCTTGCGAGGGAAGCACCAAACTTTATTATTTTTATTAGAGAATAAAAATCAATTGATTGAAACAATAACAACAATAATTGATACAGTTAATGTTAAATGTCGCTAACTTACCACCATGAACATCCATTTTATAAATGCTCCACCAGATACCAGACAGAGGAAGAGACACAGTGGCGGCAGCAACAGTGAAGACAGCGCTCTCGCACATGGAAAGAAAGTTGAGCGCGGAAATCGAGAATACTATGTACGCGATCAAGAAGATCCAGCCGTGGGTAGAAATATTCGAACAAGCTTCGCTGTTGTTGAAATGGCACGTGAACCCATGCTCTACGGTATGGTATAATTCTACTGGAGACAATCCCTAAATTGAAAAAAGAGAATCATATAATTTTGTAATATGAATATACCTATTCAATAGTTTTGAATGGAAGCTTAATCTATATATATGAAGTGATATATTTTCTTAACGATAAGTCAATTGTATTAAGTGTCTATACAAGAGGTGATGGTCTCATCATGTTAGATGATCATGTCAAAGTTATTTGTCGTATCGACGTGTTCACAAAGTGTCAATGAGGCATTATTTTTCTTAATTTTTGATGAAGGATCAAAAATTTCTCGAATTAGGTGTCTGATGATAATCAGGAATTAATCGTATGTTTGTCATAAATCTTCTCGATTAGGAGGATGATATCGTCACTCTTTGGCTTGGGATCATGTTGCATTCCTGAGATATCTTAAATTATATACAAGTTCAAGTATCATTTCCTCGAAAACAGAGCTATCTTAGGCAGCACCATCCTAGAACGTTTGTTAGATTTAATGAATTCGATATTCAAAAACAATGAGAGAAGATTCCACGTGGAGAATTTCTTCGAATATCATAAATCTCACTTATGCTCCTATTATATATCAATATGAACACATACCCTGCCTATTCCTGGTAACGTGTCAATCCAACACATTGACAGAATAGCGAAGAAGGCGATCAGATGAATGTAGAACAGCGTCTCAAGAATTGGAGGCTTTGGAATGTGTTTTGGTTTTATAGTAGGGTCAGGATCGGTCACATGAAGCAATCTACCTCCCTCCTCCTCGGAACCTCGTCGACGAATGTCTCTAGAAGACACTAATCTTGAAACCGTGTACAGGAAAGAGTTCTGTTGGCTGGCCATTATTTGACACATGTTCTGTTGCTGCAATATACGCATAAACGATTAGAAAAACTTAAATATTTTTAAGAATATTTTTCTTCATCAAAGTTAATCACCTCAGTGGTATAGTGTCCCTCGAGCAGGGTGAAGAACATAGCGAAAGCAGCGAGGGCGCCCACGTAAACAAAGGTCCAAATGGCTTTCACACCCCAAGTTCCCTTTATAGTTGTGACGTGTGCTGAAACCTCCCGCCCCCTGCATCGAAATTCATCGCAAAGGCCATAATCCACGCTTATGAAAAGACCCACTATTATAGTGGTGCTTGAAAAGATCCTCTGCAAGCTCATCACTGCAATCAATAATACCTGTTTTCTATTTTTCTTTATTAAAAAGAAAAAAATAACAAAAGGAGAAAGTTTACTTTTGCGACAGAAGAAGAAGTAATAGACCAGAGAGAAGACCAGTGTGATGCCTTTTATGGGATCCTGTAGATGACACAGAACTCTATCCCGGTCCATGGAAAGGGTGATCACTATACCAGAGAACGCATAAATCAGGCTAATTTTTAGAAGGGCGCAACGGGGGATTTTGATTCGCAAGCTGTTTGGAATCAGTGCCGGTGGTGGATATATTCTTCCCCAGATGAAGCATATGATGCCCAGGGTGAAGGCAGAGAAGAAGGCAGTGAAGAGAAGTCCTGAAAAAAAGGAATTAAAAACCTTTTTTTAATAACAGCAAACGAGTCTCGATATATATCAAAATATAATAACCCGTCTAATTTAAATATTTAATTTAAAATGAATTTCTCGTTAATATTCAATGTATATATATTTCACGTTATACATACTCATAGAGAATCGAGAAACTCTAATCGATAACTGTATCAAATAATCAATATTACAAACAAGTTAATATCTTGGTAAATACACGTTAAACGTATTATTTGAAAAATTAGAAATGCAGCGAATATCACGATAAAGGAGGATAAAAAAGCTGAAAAAAAAAAAAAAAAAAAAAAAAA